AGACAACCGCGGTATTAAACGACCATTTTTGCGAGCTTTTGTTAACAATCATTTTTGAGATATTGTTGTACAACCTTTGTATACCGTAATGCCTTCACTAGTTTGTCACGTATATTAATCTATTCTAACACAATTGTTTCATATTAGTCACACCCACAATACCTTGCAGAAAATAACCCCTGATAACTTGCAACGCTGACACAAATTTGTACGGAATTACGGCTGCGTGGACGGATATCTGATAAAAGCATACGTCTAAATGAAACGAAATTTAATTTGATTGCTCAAAGGGTGTGTCTGTAATATGACCTTTGCATCTTTACTCGTATGTACTGAAATACTTTTCATCTATGTCGCACCATACTTCATGAGAGTCTTGACTATTTCAGTTGAAACGTAGCGGTCAGAACGTTATCTGCAAACATAATGTAACACTGCATTCATAAGTAAAGACAACAGTGAGAAATCATTGATTATATAACACCGCAATTGCACATGATGAAAAGAATTTAATATTCTGAAAATTATATCAACCCAAAAAGTCATAAAGGTGTCAACGAAATTAATAACAATTTTGCCTATTCTCCTAAACCTTTGAATCATACTTGATTTGTTGGTGTTGAACTAAGCTTGGGCATTAAACCTCCCAACCTTATATTTATGTATTTTTCACCTCATTTTGATTACATTTTATCGCTGAAGTATAAAAATATGAATTTTATTTTGTGTCAATTTTTGAGTTGGGGGGTGAAAAATCACGATAAATGATGAGATTCACATTAACGTATGACGAAGTACAATTTTTCTACTTCATCAGGGACATTTGATTATATTTTTTTTTCTCACGTTTGACATAAAGTTCTAGAACTCTAGCATGTGATAGCACTTTCGAAAATGGTGGATTCAAATGGTAATGCCAATGCTGGCAAAGCTTCTGAAGCATTGATATCACAGATTAAGTCACTTATGTTCGACATTCTACATAAAGAATTGATGTAGTTATAAAGACATGGAATCTGAAAGTGGTGGCAATGATCAATCGCCTGGAGATTCTTGCAGCACTGACTTGAGAAACTCGGAAACTTAGTATATATATATATATATATATATATATATATATATATATATATATATATATATATATATATAGAATACAAATCATATGGCGAATAACAACCCTCTCAAGCGTACTGGATCCACCAAGGGATCACGTTTGTCAGGGATTAATTAAAATAGATGCAATAAACTGACGACGAACAGTACGAAACTAGTAACTAACTAGCCTAAGCGCTTTCGACTCTTAATGAGTCTTTTTCAAAGGCAAATACAAAACATAGTTACGACAAACAAATAAACACAAAAACGTTGCGTTTGTAAACCTCTACATTTCTATCTTCACATGTGCTAAAACTATAAATACAACCAGCTTGTATAGACTAGTTGCGGAAACTGAAAACGTTGTATAATTCCCTAAAAGTCTACAAGCCAAAGCGACATCTATTTTTATTTTGTGTACATATGTAACGCAGATTATATCCCGGATATCAAGGCCAAAGAACTCAATCAAACAACTGGTTTTATCGATATTCCGGCTAGATCAGATCCATCAAAAAGGCACATAACCCCTGGCACCTGTGTAAATGCTTTCTAGAATCAGAATAAATAGTGAATAAAAGAATCTTCTATACTTTTGAAAAGATCATAGGATCCGATGAAGCTCTAGAATACCTTTAGAAATGTGGAACTTATTGATTATTTCACAAGTACCAGGAATTCGTTTGAAGTAATAATGCAATGGAATTCACTCGGTTAAAAGGCAACCATGTACTTCTCTAACTTCAATTGACAAAAGTCCTCAAATCTCCATGCAAAATAAATCTCTTACACTGCGCACGATATATCTTCCACCAAGCACTCGAATCAATCAGTATGATGTTCACCTTCTTATTGAACATTTACAAATACCTTAATTATACGTTGTGACGTTAATAGCCTCCATATTCATTGGGGCTACATACATATCAAAGAGAAAAATGAACAAATGGACAACTTTGTTCGAAAAACCATCTCCCTTATAACGCTACGTCGTATACCTAACCCTTCCCTACAAGAGGATTGTACTCGTCCTTTTATATGACAGTCTGCGATTAATTTATTTTATTTAATGTCTCATGGGAAATTGGTGACGGCCTCTGTAGCAGTGATTACTTTCAAATACACATAAGTGATACTCTGAAACTTCAAATCTATGGCAGGATAAAAAAAAATTAGTCACGTAAATTGGACAGCGTTTCAGTCCAGTACCAATCAAATTTTATAGTTGATCCTTTTGTAAACATATTATGTCCAAAAGCCTTAATTACAAAGATTTTTGAATGATGCAGGTGAAAATTTCATACTAGACTTTACCTGGACCTTTAATATCATTTCCACATTCAAATTACGAAACACATTCCTTGAAGAGTACTCAATACACAAATAAACATTTACGATTAAATGTGCGAAAGCAGCCAGTTTGTGCCGGCATACTGAGAAGCAACAGTGATGCCGGCCTTTGTAGCTATCATCGAATATAACCAACAGTGTGCATTTTTAATAACGCTGCCGGAATGGTAAATGAGAGACTCCTCATGTGTCTTCGCTGCTGCTGCAATATCCCGTGGTGTCAAATCCAGTTCTTTGTTAGTTCCGTTGATCTGGCTCACAATATATATCTTTCAAAAATAGCAACATGTCAGAATCCGTGAAAAGTAGGACTAAGTAGAAACATGCAGACAAAATGTATTAATTTATGATAAAAGCAGGCAATCGTCGATAATAATTACTTATTTCAAAATCATTAAATGATCCTACCATTTGACTTACGTCAAGACAAACAAACTTGTTATCGCCTGAAGTAGGAAACAAGGATTGATAAATAAATGATAGTATGAATAGCTAAGATACATTGTTTTTAATGGTGTAAAAGATTTTTAATGAAGTACTAACCTATGCGCCATTTGCGAGTATCATAGTATTTGCAAGAAACGAGTAAAGATGATGATATTAGGACTTAGATTAAATGCTTAGCAAGAAAAGTCCAGAAAACACATTCTTCCAGCCAGGTTTAAATTACAATAATGGACACTAGTTATCATATATGTGTATTGTATAACATTTGTTTCTTCCCCTGCTAGGATAGTTATGACATCTTTATAAATATATTGACCTTGCATCTCATATCTAAATTGATTTAATCGATTTTCGAGTTTCCTGCTGACCAGAATATTTTCTTTTCTAATTATAGTCGAACAAAATCTATTCAATGTGCAAGTTTATATCGTATATTTCATAATTGTGCTATATTTGTACCATTTTTATTGGAATCACTTTTATAAATGAGCCAAGAATGTTATTTCAATATCATACATTCATTAACATTATGGACCAGATGTCTCTTGAACTAAGTTTTAATTTAAAGGGAAAAATGTGTATTATTTTATTCTAATGTACGTGTAAGCTTTGTGGAAATTACATTTACTTTTCGCACAAAACAATACATAATAAAGAAATAAATTTGGACGATGAATAAATGATTATCTATCTATCTATCTATCTATCTATCTATCTATCTATCTATCTATCTATCTATCTATCTATCTATCTATCTATCTATCTATCTATCTATCTATCTATCTATCTATGCCGAGAACAAAACAAAATAATGAGAAGGGGTATAGACAAAACAAGCTTGTGTGTGAAAAGAGCTCTTCAGCCGTACAGTGCCTACAGTATCATACTCACCTTGAAAATATTAATTCCACGCATTATTTGCAGCGTGCGAAATTGCCACCAGCCAGTTGGTCCGATGTCAACCAAATTCAGGTCATAAAGGCGAGCAAAACGAATAAGCAGTCCATGGTCAATTGGAACTCTATGCATATAGAGAATATTTAATCAGCATGTTTAATATTTTTTTCTGATATTAAAAGAAACAGTAAAATATAGGTTGTAAAAAATAATAGTGAATTGTTTATGATAACCATTTGTGAATCTTTGTGAGATGATAAAATAAATTTCTGGTAACGTAATCTACGATCATTAGATGCTCGTAAAGCACATGCTACTTCCGATTCCCAACGTCAACGTATTTTTGATGCTTGAAAGCCACCTAAGGTTAAAAAAAGCCGATGAAACAAACAAAGACAAAGACAAAATAACTATTCTACTCGAATAGAACGCTGTGAAATGAAAACGATATTTTAGTTACAGAAATTGCTTGGAATATAGAAACAGTATGCATTCTTTAACTTCGACAATGCTGTTATACTTGGTTTACCACAGCATCGTCAATGATATTCGAGACTATAATCTTTTGTAACAACATGCAAAACTCTGAAAAAGATATCACTTTTGATACAGGACTAAGCTGTAATTTATGTTTATACTGTTGCGTGCCACAGGTAAACATACATGGTCTTCTCTTTAAAAGAAATTATATCACAAACATAGGATAAGCAAAATTAAACACAAGCTGATCCAGACGACGTCTGAATTTGACAATTTATTTACATCTCAAGACGTTGATATAAAAGTTCAAAGACGCGGATGGTATTTATAATGCTGAGCTGAAGGAACTATAACTGATCGGATGCTAATAAGCATACATTTGATCCAATCCCAGATCAAGCAATCCACAGCAGTATTTCATCTGTCCGCTTTCCTTAAAAAATAATTTATGAGCAGCTGTACATTGGATACCGTATCTTCCTGGTCTAGTTCTGATACTGTCGTCGATGCCAAGTCAATGCATAAGGAGCCTGCTTTTATCAGACTTGTTACAAATGGTTAACTTATGATTCCCAGGATCTAAATGAGATATATATGGGTTGGGACATTGATCACATTTTTTCAGTAAATAGTGGCAATGATACGCTAAATTGAACGAAATTTAATAAATAATAAATGTGATGCAAGTATATTATTTCTCTATGTTCCATGTTTCGTTATATAAATAACCAGACTGCTCCGGTGGCCTAGTGGTTAGAGTATCCGCCTCGGATGCGGGAGGTCGTGGGTTCGAACTCCGGCCGAGTCATACCAAATTCTTACGAAATTGGTACTAACAACTACCTAGCTTGGCGCTCAACATTAAGAGACTAGTGCCTACTTAAATGTTTCATTGAATCATTAACATTATTTTGTCTTCTTGTATAATGAAATAAAGAACCATATTATTGTGGCTTTGACCAGTAGCATCGTAAGAATAATGACCCTATGGGTTTGTCGAACTCTTTGGTGAGTTTTCCGCACTGATATTTTTTTTTTTGTGGCAGCATGAATCCTTTGTAATTTTCATAATAGCCATGCAAAACTAGCATCGATCAGGAAACATAACAGATTAGTTCTACTTTAAGCGCTGTCTAGTGCTGGTGGCTTGTAAATTTTAGCAGAATGAACAGAAGAGACCCTAATATGTAAGTGTACATTTGCTGGTGTTTATATACGGGATTTGTACCCTTAAGTCGAGAATTATGAAAGGGTTATTTTAAGGGTTATAATATAAGTTTTAACTTTGCATGACTACAGTCAGATGAAAGTACTGTCTCGGTTGAGAAGACAAACTTAGCATACAAATCGCATTCAACTTTGAACACTGATTAAAATATATTACGAGTAAAATGTTTCAAAATATTTCTGCTGAATGATACAAATCTGAAGAGATAAATTTTTAAACATGAAATAATTTCTTTGAGAATATGGCCTAAAGAATTACTATTTTCAAAATGGTACGTAAACGTATACAAATAATACACATAAGAAAAGCTATTGAAAAAGAATTGTTTAGTTTAAGTTTTTTAAGAGTTAATAATCAAGTTAGTATTGACAAGTTGTGAGTAGCAGCTCAAATTCTATGTGGTATCACATCATATTTATTCTAACAAACGATTACCTCGCAATGTTTGCCTTAGAATCAATTGTTGTTAGGTTCAATATCGCTGATGTCAAAAGTTACTTACGATATAACTGACATCTCAGCTATGTGTTAAAGAATATTAACCTTTGCAAGCTCAACACAATGATTTAATTCCAGAAAATTCACTGCATATTCCCTAAGAAAACGAAATTATAGATCTTGTCCTCTTGCCAAGCCAGATAAGTAATCAATACAGATTTGGCTACTTAAGTAGGACAGTTAAATCATCACTCGGCAGATAATCATAGACTAGGAAAAGGAGCAGAACGGTTGTGCTTTGGGACGTGGTATTCCAATTTACATTGTTAACTATACCAATCGAAATCTTGCTCAGAGAATGTGATAAATCATATAACTGTGAACTATTTGCCTTAGGTCCTAAATAAGGGAAATTCATCTTGTAACTTTGATTTTGATAGCACACATACACACACGTGTATATATATATATATATATATATATATATATATATATATATATATATATATATATATATATATATATATATATATATATATATATATACACACACACACACACACACACACGAGAGAGAGAGAGAGAGAGAGAGTAAACTCAATGTAAAGACACACCATCCTAATATACCAACTCGTTACTGGGACTGACAAACATATACTACAGCAACACTCTAAAATGTTCTGGGTCAAGCGGACAATTCATTTCAAAATATTATTCTGAACAAGGCAGCGAATTTTTATTCTTGACAACCGTTATCGGGTCGATTGGTTCAAACGGTTCCTGGATGGGTTTTTTTTTCGGGAGGGGCAACCTTGGGTGAAGATATACTGAATTAAATAGGACGACATCCGCTAGATATCGATGAAGATTACAAAATATTGGTTCTCGAGTACATTTAAAAACTCGTCATCATCACACAGTTCACGCTAGGGCGGAACAATGGTTGGTGCGTCCACCTTGGATGCGGAAGGTCGCGAATTTGAACACCGGCCGAGTCATACCAAAGACTTACAACAATGGTACTAACATCTACCTCGCTTGACGCTCAGCATTAAGAGATTAGTATTAGGCCCGGTCAGCCTGGTGTCAGGATAATGTGACTGGGTGAGACATTATGCCACATGTCTGCGGCATGATGCCCTAGTGCTAGACATCACAATAAACTGCCACACTGCAGGCATCGTAGCGATATGACTGAAAAAATGTTAAAGCTATTTGAAAAATCTAAATCACACACACATTCATATTTTGCAAATAAGAGTTTCAATATTGATTATTACTACTACCTACACTTTTGCCTTTTAATTACCTCCTGTTACATAAATTATCTCCAATAACTTGTGTCAAATGTCACAATAAACATACAAAATATATTGAATCAGTGATATATAAGCATGTATAAAACCATTATGCATTACCTATATAAAAGACACCTTGTAATCTGATATTTATATAAAGTAGAACAATTTATTAGGTCATTTTCTATAAAGGAAATTGTATATTTTGTCACAGTGCCAGTTCTATACATATATGTTCTGTTTAAGTAGGACATTTAAATCCTCTCGGTAGGAAAGTATTGACAAAGTTTCAGTTATCGATCTAACAGAGCAGACGAGTTACTCCGATCAAGGCATGTAGATAATATGCAAAAGTGGTGGAGTGTAATACCAAAAATATTATAACTTAAAATTATCAATGAAACAAAAAAGCTAGTCAAAGTTGTTGATGGTCTAGGTCTTCTCTCGCAATCATTGGAAAAAAATTAACATCAGAGATACACCCCTGTAGGTACTTCCTCTACCATGGATGATCACTAAAAGGCGGCTTTACTGTAAGGCTGTGTGCAGATTTAGAATTAGATGTGGATTTAGAAATAAATATTGAAGAGCAGAAACTGTTCACTAGAAGTCAACTAGAGGTTATCAAGTTCATTTTTGTACAATTTCATTGGGAACTTTCTTCAATTTTGAAACAACGCTTAACCCTTAAATTGTTTACGATTTTATTGCAGTTAACGTTTATCTTTGATTACCCTCAAAATAATTTTGAACGTATGTATGATTCCTAAATCAAGATTTTGAAACTCCTCGATTTTTACTTGCGACGAAATTATTAGTGCTGAAAATGGAAGGCTAGATAATATTTGAGATAATTTATATGATAATTAATGTAAGCTCTACTTTTCTATGTCATATTAACTTGTGTAGAAGTCGATATTGAAAGTGCAGTACATTTTAAGGGTTAATTTTCACCCACAACACCTATGCTAATTGGGCATGTTTACCTCCATTATTTCGTCTTCCTGACAAACGGCAAAACACAAGAACAATTTTGCATATATATAATGAGTACATGAAAGGTATAATCTTTAGGTTTAGTTTTGTGTTTGCTTGCCAAGTTGTATCTACCAGAGATCTATCAAAAGCATCCTTCAGATTAATGCAGACCCGGCCACGTCAAAGGGAAAGGATATACACTGGTCCTGTATGAGAGTTCCGTGTTAATCCTAGGATTCAGTAGACTTCTTCCTGTTTTCACCAATACATTAATTTATGATTGTACATACCATTATGTTGTTCAAGGCAGTAGAGAATCTAAATAATTGTGAAATATTTGTCTCAAGTTCGAGATAGGAGATTTTCCCATCAACGTGAATATAGTTTATTTTTACTATGCTCATTTCTGGGCCAACATAGTACTCATCTTCTATCCGAACTGGGTGCGGGCGTGAAGGCGTGTCGTCTTAAAATGAAAGCACGTGACACAATTTTGGTTTCAGCAAAGAATTTAAGCAGAGGCAATTATGTGACCTCTTGATGTCATGGTGGAAAGATGTCTTCTTAACGTATGTAGCTTACTTGCTCGTTAAACTCAGCCCAACATTGTCAAGAGGTTTGAGTTTAACAGTACAGTAACACATGGCGCAGGGCAAACGAATCAAGACGTTTAGTTGTTTTGCGCTATGTTCTATTACTGCTGTACATAATGTCTAATTTTATTCTGAGGTTATTTTCTGAACAGCAGATGTCATTTACTTCACGTAACGACTTCGTTTTTATTACTTTAGTAGAGACTTTTTTCACATTTTTCTATAGGGCCCAGAGTGGCCGAGTGTTGCAAACCAATCGTCTTTACCAATCACTTATCACCTCTCCTCTGTCCGCTTAGGTACGACTCCCGGGCTCAGGCAAAGTAAGTAGGTAATAAAACCCTCAATTGCTTCCCGTGAGACTGTGGTTCTTGCCGGGAGTTTTCCGGCGTCTTCATCTACCAAATATGCTGGCCGCCATGTATAGTCTATCTTGCCAAATATAGCAACAATATTTTTCAGTATCTGATTGATTTCACAGTTAGAAATACCCTCATAGGAACGTGAATTAAGTTATTTTTGCTAACTTCGAGACGATCAATTATGTTGCCGGTGCTTGAAGTGGAATGTTGCATAGTGAGATAAAACTCTCAGTGGATTTATATCGTTAATCTCGTAGGCACCTATGAGTTTCCTAAGAAAAAGACCATTCTTTGTGGCTGACACGGTATTTTGGATTATGTTAAAGGTATGGTTTGGATAGAGTTTAGCATATGTGGCTCTCGTCTGGGATAACTTTCGAGATTCTGGTTTGCATAGGAACCTGGCCGAATTTTACTTTGATAAGGTGTTATTGTGGTTCAAGATTATCAATGACAATGATTTAAAGTTTGTTTTAGGATAGATGTTGTTCTTTTACCCATATGATCGGTTTGGTTCTCTCTCTCTCTCTCTCTCTCTCTCTCTCTCTCTCTCTCTCTCTCTCTCTCTCTCTCTCTCTCTCTCTCTCTCATTCACAAGCCCAGAGATATCGTGGGATGACACAATCGGAAATCGTCTACATTCGTCATTTCATAGATATAGCCGGTATGTTGCTGCGATAGTCAGAGAGAGAGAGAGAGAGAGAGAGAGAGAGAGAGAGAGAGAGAGAGAGAGAGAGAGAGAGAGAGAGAGAGAGAGAGAGAGAGAGAGAGAAAGAAAGAGAGAGAGAGAGAAGCATTTTGACATTTTCATGTTTTATTAATAAGAATCGATTTTAGAATATTATAGTATATTTAAGAAATAATATCAAAAACAAAAAATGGAATACATCTCAGTACGTGTACCACGTAAT